TTTTTTTTTGTACCAGGGATGGAACTCAGGCCCTTCCACTTGTGAGGCAGGCGGTGGTGAGCCAAATCCCCCACCCTTATTTTTGTGTTTTAGTACTGGGGATGAGACAAGGTTTGTTTAGACTGGGATCTAACGTGGTGATCCTCCTGCCTTAGCCTCTCAAGAGTGCTGGGAATTACAAATGTGCACCACCATCCCAACTACAAGCCTCCCCTCAAAATGAGATTTCCCTCAGGCAATCATCCTTAGAAGGTACAAGTCCAGCCTCAGGAACCACCAGTCCCTCCCTCAAGGCTGCCCAGGTTTAGGGTAACAGAGATGACATTATAGGCCTAAGCTCCACCCTCTTCCACCTACTGAAGCCCAAGCTGTCCTAAGAATGGGCCAGTGCTGCTATGTCCTTGTTCAACTTTATTGCTGGCCAGGAACAGGAAGGGAAGGAGAGCAGAGGTGCCTTTCCCCATAAAGTCCCTCTCCCCAGGCAGCCAGCCGGGCCCCCACCACTGGGGAAGGGTCCTGCTCATCCCATCACAAACAAACACACACACACACACACACACACAGAGAGAGACAAATAAATACGGGCAGCCTAGTGAGGGCATCTCTGAGGCCAGGTCCTCTGTAGCACAGGCCAAAGGGCAGCGAGCGGGCACCAGGAACAGGCAATACTGTGGGCTGGGCCTGGAGAACAGGTGAAGGTGAGGCAGGCTCAGCTCAGCTCAGCACACAGCGTTCCCGCCGGCTCAGCTGTCGGCTCAGCTTGCGGCGGCGCTGCTCCAGGCCACGTGCCAGGCGCTCATCCTCTTCCAGGGCGCTGGGGGTGGGGACCATCAAGTCAGCCGCGGTGTTGTCCACTGGGGCTCCAGACCCAGCCCTACCAGCTCAGAATTGGCCCCCACTTACATCCGCTCCTTTTGGTCCAGGTCCCGGACCAGCTCATCACGCTGGTTCACCAGTGACACCAGCTCCTCTAGCAGTAGCTGTTCTCGGTGCTGCTGCGTGGCTGTTTTCTGCCAGTCTGAGAGCCCAAGAGCCCGAGTCAGGTGTTGCCCGGCCGGGCCCTGTCTTACCTCTGGTCCCTGCATCCCCATCTCCCACCTTCGATGGCCAGCATGGCACGAAGCTCCCGGCTCAGCAGCTCGAACCTGCGCTCCAAATCCTGCTCCTCGATGCTGGGAGGCAAAGGAGCTAGGTCAGGGTGGGGGGTGCACAGGGCTCTGATACTCTCCCGCCCAAGCCCGCCTCCCCCTCCTTCCCATAGAGGGCTGAGCTGACCTTAGAGCGCTACCTGCTTTCCCCTTCAGAATTCTCTGTTCCAACTGTCCTCTGATGACTGATGTTTATGTTGCTTCCCACCCCCTCTTGTAAAACATGAACCAATTATTGAAATGGAAGCAGCGGGCTACAACTGTCCTGGAACAATGCAAATGCAGACAGGCAATGCTGTCTCCAGCAAGTGAGTGACCTGAGCAGATCTCTAGGGCTTGTTTTCCTTACTGTAGAGGCAAAAGGAGGACTTAGCCCTGACCTCCCCAGGACACATTCTGCTCCTGGCCTCAGTTTTCTCATCAATAAAGATAGTACTCTTTTTATGTGTGACACTGGGGAATTGAACCCAAGGCTTTCACACTGAGCTACATCCTCTCTATCTATTTATTTTGAAAACAGAGGCTAAATTACTCTGACAGGCTCAAACTTGCAGTCTTCCTGCCTCGGCCTCCCAGCACACGTGTGCATCACCATGCCTGGCAAGACAGCACCAGTTTAAGAAGTATACAGAATGCGTAGGAAATAGGACAAAAATTAGTGAGACGACCGAAAAGTGATTTTTTAAAATATCTTGTAGAAAGCAGAGAGCAGTAAACACAGTATTTCTAACTGAAGTAGTGTAGCTAAGATTCCCTGCACTTGAGCGCCCTCTGTCAGCAGTGGTGCAGCCTGAGTTGTTGGGTAGGGCCTTGGGGCAGGGCGGGCTTTGGAGCTGGGAGGGGCGGAGCCTGGGCTGGAGGGGCAGCGCTCACAGCAGCTGCAGCTGGTCCTGCCTCCGAATGAGAGCGTTCTTCTTGTTGACCAGTGTGAACCATTCCTGGATCAGAATCTCCTCCTGCAGCCGGTTAGCACCTGAATCAAACCATGACCGTCATCAGGCCTGAAGGAGGGGGCTTGCCCGTTCCATCCCAGAAGCCTGTGCTGTGTGTCTCCAGGAAGCTGCTTCCCTGCTCGGGACTCAGCATGCCCACTGTAAAATGCCTCCTCATCCTTCCTCCCATCTCTACCCACAGCCCGAAGGAGCTGCAGGGCTGGGCAGAGATGGTGGTGGGGTGGTGCTAAGTCCCGTGCCCCGCGTGTCTACTCACCTGACTCCATGAGGCTCCTTAGCTGCGTCTCCACCTCAGCCGCCCGCCCATCTATCTGCCTCTGCTCCTGTTCCAGGGCCTGCAGCTCTGCGCACACGTATTGACTTGTGTCCTGGAACCGTTGCTGGGGACAGAAAAGGGGTCAGGGGACAGATGGGTTCAGCAGGCCCTGCCTAGGAAGTGCCCACCAATCAGTTCCCCGCTTTAACCCTCCTTACCAATCCAGCCTCCTCCCCTGGACTTGGGGGTAGCTCTTCCAATGGGGGATTCCCACCTGCAGATAAAGACCTGGCTAAGGCATCCCCAACAAGTGCCCCAGATGGTCTCTAGTCCAGGATTTCTGTGGCCTGTGCTAAACCACGCTCCCTCCAAAAGTACTCACCGGGAGGCTGCTGTGGGGCTGTGGCTGTGGGTGGGCCAGGGGCAGGGCTGAGGTCAGGGCTCAGGCCTTCCTGTGGAAATATGAGGCCAGTGAGGGCTGGGAGGGGTTCCCTCACAGCCCCAGCCAGAGCCTCTCACACAGGGGTGGTAGGGTTCTCAATCCCAGACCCTCCACCCAGCCAATTCTAAATCCTGCAGGGCCTCCTTCTTTTCACGTGAAGACCAGGCCTTCACTTCCCACGGTCTTGGGCCCATCCACACCCACCCTCCTCTTGACCTCAAAGCCCTCATTCCGGGGACTGGGCTGATAGCCCTGGTGTCAGAATGAGAGTCGGGTCCTCTGTCCCCCTCCCACCTCTCCTCCATGCAGCCCCCTCAGGTCACCTTTGACTCCTGTGACTTCACGTTGGCATCTCCATCACGGCCAGGGCCCTCTGAGGTGACTCTGAGCTGACTCAATGCAGCCCCATTTCTGGACCTAGGCCCACCTAAACCAGCACTGCATCTCCAAACCAAAAGAGGGCACCCTCCCACCATATCGGTTCCCACATCTAAACCGGGCTGTGGTCTTAACGCATCATGTTAAGAACCAGGCAGAACCAGGCAGGTTGGCTGGACTTGCAATTTTACCCTCCTGTGGCCCACTCCTGGTGACTTGCTAGGATTGCCAGATCTGGGGGCCTCCAGCTTTGGACTCCACTGACAGACCCTTCACAGATGCTGCTCTAGCCATCCTTCTGGGTCAAAGGATGGGGAGAAAGGGCTAACAACCTATGCCTGCCTCTACCTGTACCCTCTGAGAGGCAGCCCTGGCCATCCCTAGCCTATGTGCCATCCTTTCCAGCCTGGGTCAGTAGTGGCCTCCTCACCAACTGCCACCATTCCCTGCCTGCAACTCTGCCCTCAAGCCACAACCAAGAGGTCTTCTGAAACTCTCACCCAATGGTGTAACTCTGCATCCCTTCTTGGCCCTCAGTCTCACTGCCAAGGCCTGTGGGCAGCTCCAGCCTCAACTCCCCTGGGTACCACCCTCTGGCCACAGTGCTGGACTGTCAGTTCCCTGAAGAATGTCTTCAGCCTGGAACCAGCCTCCATCTTGAGCTGCCCCACACATACTCAACCTCCAATCTCCATGACTCAGCTCAGCCCACCTTCTGCGGAGGCCCCTGAGGCCCCTCTACCTCTCAGCCTCCTTCCTGACCTTCAGACCTTCAGAAGTCTGGACTGGTCAGATGCTCTCTCCCCCGGCCACTCCAAGACTGCGGGGAGCCAGCCACCTCCTGGTGCTGTTGATTCCCCATGCCTCCCTGACCAGAGGGAGCCCCTTCAGAGAGTTCTCCGGGTATACTGATTAATACTAAGGTGAATGTCACCTGAGCATTTATGCAGCATATAGATAGTTTGATTCATTTCCATCCATTGTTTTCCCAAAAACCCTGGGAGGCAGAACTACTCCCTCTCCCACTTAACAAACAGGAAACTGAAGGTTGGAGAAGAAGCTTGTACAGGGTGTGGCTACAGGGTTGTTTAATCCCCTATTTTTTTGTATTGCAGTACTGGGGATTTGAACCCCCACCTTTGAGATGGTTTCACGAACCCAAAATTTGTTTCCAAGCATGGATATCTATTGGGCTTGTGTCCTGGTATGCAAAACAGGGCAAAACCTCAGCCCTTGGGGAAACACGCAGCTCCCCCTCTTTCTGACAGCCCCCACAGCAATTCCCACATGCTACCTTGCAAAGGGCTTCCTCCTCTTCCTCAGGGGAAAAGCTCACAAACTGAAAGCCTTGCCCAAGGTCACACAGCCAGGCAACAGTGCTGGTCGCAGCAGAGGACGCTATGTCAGAACTCAAACTACATAGGCCTGCAATCCCAGCACCCTGGGAGGCTGAGGCAGGAGACTGTAAACTTCTGTGCTTGCCAAGGCAATTTACTGATTTAGCAAGAGCCCACCTCAAAATGCAAAATAAAAAATAAAGGAGAAGGCAGGCATGGTGGGCTAGCCAGGGCTACACAGTGAGTTCAAGGCCAGTTTAAAGAGACCTTGTTTTAGAAAAACAAAAGGGCTGCCGGGCGTGGTGGTGCACGCCTGTAATCCCAGCACTTGGGAGGCTGAGGCAGGAGGATCGCTGTGAGTTGAGACCAGCCTGGGCTACATAGTGAGTTCCAGGTCAGTCTCAACTACATAGTGAGACTCTGTCTCAAAAAACCAAAAAAAAAGAAAGAAAGAAAAACAAAACAAAACAAAACAAAAGGGCTGAGGATGTACCTCAGTGGGAAGGCCCTGGTTCAATACTCAGTACTGAAAAGCACCCTCCCAAAAAAAGCTGGGCATGGTGGTGCATACCTGAAATGTCAGCCAGCACTCTGAAAGGCTGTGGCAGGAGGATCACAAGTACAAGATCATCTCGGGCTAATTAGTGAGAACCCATCTCAAAAAAAGGGCTAGATCATCAGGTGTGGTGGCTTCTCCTGTAATCCCAGTGCTCTGAAGGCTGAGTGAGGCAGGAGGATCACTGAAAATTTGAGGCCAGCCTGGATTATAATGTGAGTTCAAGGCCAACCTGAACTACATAGCAAGACCTTGTCTCAAAGAACAACAGCAACAAAAAGGCCAGGCATGGTGGCTTACAATTTACAACTATAATCCCAGCACTTGGGAGGCCGAGGAAGGAGGATCGCTGAAAGTTTGACACCAGCCTGGGCTACATGGCGAGTTCAAGGTCAGCCTGGACTACATAAGGAGACCCTGTCTCAAACAAAACAAAATACTGCCTGATCAGAGAAAAAAGAAAGATGCTGAGGATGAAGCTCTGTATTAAGGCTTGGCCTTGGCTTCAATCTCTAGTATCTCTCTCTCTCTCTCTCTCATACCCACACACACACCCACGCACACAAACACAACAGACTTAAAAACAGTGGCTCTTCACTTGGGGCCTACGGATAGATGCCCAATAGGTAACTAAAAGCAGAACAAAGCTTGACCTTCATTTTTGTTTGGTTTTTTTGAACTTTGCAATCACACTTTCATTTCCTTCTGAAGTCAGTAGAAGCATGTATTTTAGTAATACAAACTTAATTACAATAAACTTAATTACCTTTATTCTTTTTCTTCATTATCTCAATTGCAAAATTTTTTTTTCTTTTAGTTTCTAGTATAAAGGCTCTTTATCTATACCAGCATTGATTTTTATCAAAATATTTTCTGGTTCTGAAAGTCACTGCTCCAACACAGGCCAGTTGTCCAAGAAGCCTATAATTCTATTTTATATGTGACCTCTTAAGTTCTGGACTCATGCTTATCTTGGTTTTCAGCAGCACCATGTTAACCAATATCTTTATGAGCCATTTCATGAAAATTCTTCAGTTTTGATCCCATTCAGGTGACTCAGCAAGGAAGCATCTGAAATATCTAGTCATATGACAAAGTCAGATGCAGAGGAGGGAAGAGGTCCTTCTTCTGAAGCCATAGGATCCACAGCCAATGTGGACATTCATGTTTCTTTCCTCTTTTTCTATAGCCAGTGAGAGCTTCCTCTAGAAGGTCTGCTTGGTTTAGTATCATTCAAAAACCATCAAGGATCCACCCTTGATTCACAGGTATCTCGTTAATAGCATTTACGATGATGTTAACTAATAATGTGCTTGGAACACTCTTTCCTTTCTTCAGCAATTGTGATTTTGCACCAAGCTGAGCACACACAGAGAGTTTAGACAAATGATCACTATCACTTGATTTGACTTCTTTGGTTTTGGGTATTCTCTTAGTATGCGTATTAGATGTAGTTTCACCTTCTGTTTCTGGTAATGGTTCACTTGAAACTGGAGCATCTGAAGGTACATTGTGTGAGTCCTGGCTTGCATTCATTCATTCATTTATTTGTACCGGGGATCAAACTCAGGACCTTGTCTCTGCGAGGATGGTGGCGGAACCACTGAGCTAAATCTCCAGCCTTTTATTTTTATTTTTTTGGTACCGGGGATTGAACTCAGGACCTTGCACTTGCAAGGCAGGCACAGTGCCACTGAGCTAAATCCCTGACCCAAATCCTGGCTTTCTTTACTGTCCTCCTACAGATCCCATGGAACTCTCTACCTTCCTTCTGAATTGGTAGGTCCTTACTGACGTTTTCATTGTCATAAAATGCTTGGATTGCTCTTGGACAAGAGTGCCCATACAAAGCACCTGAATAGGAAACTGTCTTTGTAGAGTCCTTAAAGTGATAGTTTTCCCACTAAGTGTTTTCTCTAGTAAGCATCCTATAATAGCAAATGAAGGCACTTCAGGCTCCTTTGAGGAAGAGATTTTGTGAAACGCCTGGCCTAGTATGGAATTGTTGGAGGGTGGTAAATTATCTGTCATTTCTTCTGGTACAGCCCATTCTCCAACCATGTTCTTATATTTTTCATAACCTTTGCTGTCTAGCAAATCTCTTTTATCTAGTTCTCTAAGTTGTTCTTCAGAGGGATTAGCAGGCATATGCTTAATAGGGGTTAGTTCATATATGTATGGGCTTTCCATGAAAAAAAACAATTCCTTCCAATCATGCACCATCTTAAATGGAATCAGATTATTTGTCAACATTCCGTAGCCTGCCAGGTTAGTGGACAAATCAAGTATTTGATCCAAAATTTCTCCACATATTTTATAATGCCTTCCAAAACGAGCCTGAACTCTTTCCACAGCAATCTATTCATGAACTTCTTTCTCTCTGAGGATTTGTTCTTCAAAATCAATCTTGGCTTGTTTTGCCAAAGCTGTTCCCAATCAAGAGCATCCCGGAGGGCTAGGGATTTAGCCCTGTGGCACTGTGTCTGCCTTGCAAGCACAAGGTCCTGAGTTCAATCCCAAGAACAACAAGAGGGGAAAAAAAATAAAAAGAGCATCCTGGAAATCTGTAAGTCATCTTTCCTTATATTGCTTTTCTCTGAAAATTCTGTTTTGCCATAAAACCTCCTTTCCATGCTGAACACGCATGGGCTGCACGGCAATCCTGTGCTCCTGCTGGGACTGTCCCATGAGCTTGTGTATCAGCTGCTCCTCACGGAAAGCCTCCTCCTGTGCTTCATGGGTGATAAACTGGTCCATTAACAACTTCCACAGTCTTTTCTCCCTTTGCTCTTCTTCTAGGCACTTCTGGCTTTTTAAGGGTACATCATCTGAGTAGGTGTTTAATGAATTTGTAGTTGTATGGTCTGCTCTATCTAAACTAGTCTTGGATGCACTTTCTTTTGCCTGGAGATCCTTTTTTATTAATGCTTCAAACTTCATGATCTCATCAGTGACATCAGCTGCCTCCTGTTGCTTTTTCATCATTTTTTGGGGCCTCGAGTGCTTGCTTTCAGATGTGACTGGATGTAGGTTTAGGAATCTGCATGACAGTTGCTTGGATTTTGGCTATTATTTCATTTCGTCATCTTCTGTCGAAGTGTTGCTCTCAGGAAGCCTCACTTTTCATGTTTTGAAATTTTAAGCTTGCCAGAGGCTGTATGGAAAACACCTTTGCAAGTGACCAGGGATTTGCTAATCATGGGGAACACTGTCTTCAATTTTTATGGCATGAGATCTTCATGAGAGTGAGCCAAGCCTTACACCTAATACCAATCAGGGAATGCTATCTTCTATTCATCTGGATCTTCACAAGATCAAGCAAAGCTCTGTACCTGATACCAATCTTCTGGCGTGAGCTCAAGCTGCAGCCCTCCAAATGATACTAATCAAGTAAGAAAGTAGAGAGAGACTGGGGATGTACTCAGTGGAAAGAGTGAAAGCGAGACTAGAGATGCAGCTGAGTGGAGCCTATGGCTACCTGGTAAGTACAAGGTCCTGAGTTTGATTCTCTCCCCCTCTCTTAAGGTCCTGAGTTCGATACCCCGACAGAAAGAGGAGGAAGTGTAGCTCTGGCTGGCCTCAAACTCACAGCAATACTCCTGCCTCAGCCTCCTGAGTGCTAAGATTACAGGCGCGTCCCACCACACCTGCCTTGATCTTTGTTTTTATCTCCTTTAGTACCTTAAAATTTTGGATTAGTGCCAGCAATTCAGTTCAGTGGCACCACACCTGCTTCACAAGTATGAGGTCCTAAATTCAATCCCACCAAAAAAATCCCAAAAAACCACACACAAAAACCAACTTTGGGTTAGATCCTTGCTCACCTCTGCACACAGGCACATTAATCATTTAGGAGTAGCCGGGCATGGTATAATCCCAGCACTCCGGAAGCTGAGGCAGGAGGATTGCTGTGAGTTTGAGATCAGCCTGGGCTACATGGTGAATTCCAGGTCAGTCGCAACTATAGTGAGACCCTGTCTCAAAAAAACTCAACCCCCCAAAAAAAAACCCAAAAACCAAAACAATCATTTAAGGAGTATCTGTCTTAAAGCTGGAAAAACAAAGTTGATTACTTCTAAATTTAAGTAAACTTATCTCAAACCCTGTCAAAATTGAAGACACCAGGTCTTTAAAATCTTAAAAAGGAGGCTCCACCTATACCCTTCTGGGCCCAAGGATATAGCTCAGTGGTGCTGTGTCTACCTGGCAAGCATAGAGCAGTACTGGAAAAAACAAATAAACAAAACAAGACACCAACATAAGGGATTTACGGAGATATCCCCTATGCCCAGAAGTCTCCAGTCCTAAACCTGTGGTCACCTGGAATTCTGGCAAAGCCTTACAAGCCCGAGACTGCCTCACACAGAAACAGTCACCTCCTGGAGGCGAAATTGTCCCCTCAAGCAACAAGGACTTTCCCTGTAGCCATCAAGCAAAAACAACTGAGATCAAACTCCCCAGAGCCTGGCCAGCTCCTTCAAATTTCTACAGCCTGGCCCAGCTCTTCCGTGAATGGCCCAGTCAGAACTTCATCATTCCCATGTCCCCTTCAGTTCCCTCTGGTCTCTTACTTTTCAATTAAAGCTCTGGCTTGTGAAACTCGTGCTTATTACCTTGGTTTTAATGTCCAGTATCACTGAAGCAAGGACCCACACTAGCTGGTGATATTCCCACCTATAAAATGGGGTGATTGCTCCTCCCTGGAAAGGGCATTGTGGGACATTGAGGGGTCATGGGGACAAGGCCAGCCATAATGAGAGGGCTCAGTGACAGGACTGGCAGAGGTTGGTGGTGGAAAAAGCCAACCTTAGCAGCAAATGAGCTTACTCATGCCAACCCTGGTGGGAATTCTTTTTTTTTTTTTGGTACCAGGAATCGAACTTAGACCCTTACACTTGCAAGGCAGGCATCAGAACCACTGAGCTAAATCCCTGGCCCCTTGATGGGAATTATAATGCTTTTTCCTCCTATTTGACCCAAATTCCTCTTTCTGTATTCTCATGTTTGGCCCCTCCCTAGGGAGCCTTGCTAGGCTACACCACAAGCAACCTGCTGTTCTCATTGAGTTGCTTCAACCCCATTGCAGCTACAAGGTCCCTGACCTCATCCTATTCCAGGCCTCTGGGAGCTTGGAAGGGTGAGGCCTGGCAGAACCATCCCTGCACATAAAGGAAACAGGGAAGAACGCAACCAGTGAGGAGGAGCCTCCTCCAGCCCCGTGCATCACAATCTCCTGTGGGGCAAGGGCTGGAGGAGGGCCAGGCTTGGAAAGACCAGATGCTGGGACTTGGGCCCAGAAGGGTGTAGGGTGGAGCCTCTCTTTTAAGATTTAAAGAGCCACTAACACAAGTTAACCAGCCAGGCTACAGGAAGCTGTGTCCCCCTGGTCCCTGTCAGCCACAAACTGTTAGGTACCTCCAGTGCCCTTTCTGTCTCTCTCATTCACAGACTCGACCCTGTGCCTCTGACGTGACACTCAAGGCTACTCTCCACCTCGCCCACGCCATCTGGGGACCTTTTAGGAACTGTCTGGCAGTTCCCTGTCTGGCCATATTTCCCTGAGGCTATATTTTGCTTGAGAACCACCCTTACATTTTTTCTGCTGGGAAAATCCACCCCCTTTAAACTAGCCTGAAGGCCATTGCTTCTTCCAGAAAGCCTTCTCCCCAGTTTATTCCTTCCTTTCCTCCAAACTGAGGGGCCACCACTGAGCAGGGACAGCTATGCAGCGGCCTATCAGAGCTGCCCCTGCTGTCCTAGACCACAGCTGGAACACCCTGGCATTGACTTGTTTCTTTTTTATACCAAGGATCAAACTTGGAACCTTGTGCTTGTGGCACCAAGGAACTTAATCCCCCTGCCCTTTTTGTACCCAGGATTGAACTCTGTCTTTTTTGGGGGGTACGACAGGTTCTCACCATGTAGCTCAAACTCACCATGTAGCCCCAGCTGGCCTCTAATGATCCTCATGCCTCAGTTCTCAAGTGCTGAGATTACAGACATGCACCATCACAACTACCTGGCCTGGACATTAGTGCTGTGAAGCCTCTGTAGGACCACCTCCCTTTAGCACAGTGACAGAAACCCCCTGGAAGACTGAGTTGAGACCTGAAGCAAATGGCAGTAGGGACCCAGGCCTCAGCAGGGTCTCCCACCTCCAATCTCCCATTATAGGAAAAGTAGAAGCAGGACATGGTGGCAACACCTATAATCCCAGCACCCTGAGGGACAGAGTCAAGAGGAACCAGCCCAGTCCAGGGCAATTTAGAGACTAAGAGAAATCCTGTCTAAAAAAAAAAAAAGTAGAAAGGGATGGAGATACAGCTCAGTAAAAGGGCCCTGGATCTAATCTCTAGACAAGAAAGAAACAGGAGGAGGGGCTGGTCAGGCAAGGTAGCCCACAAGTATAATCCTAGTACTCAGGAGGCTGAGGCAGGAGGAAAACCACTAGCAAATATCCCAGGCTAGCAGCAAAGTCTGGGTCCTCCCTGGGCCTGGTGGTCCTTGGCTAGAATACGTCCCCTGAAGGGGAGCTCATAACCTACAGTGCCAGGGTTGCTCCCACGGCACCAGGGTCTCTCTGAGCCCAAATCTCCTCCCTGCATCCAGCTGTGTATCCTGCTCTTAAACTGCCAGCTTTGTTCTCCGGGCCACTCAGGACCCTTCTCTACCTGTTCCCCACCACCCAGCTCTGCAGCTGTAGAGGGGCACTCACCATGGCCACAGCTCCCGCAGCTCCCGCCTCCGGCTCGTCCACTGAGAAGGAGCTGCTGTTGCGCAGCCTGGAGCGCCTTTTCTTCAACAGGTCGGCGTCGCGCACGTGGGAGAAGGAGCCATGCGCACGAGGTGGTGGCACCGGGCCAGCCTCCCCGTTGACAGAGGGCCGTCGCAGTCTCACACCGCCCCCGCCTGCTGTCGCTCCTGCCCCGTTCATCAGCCCCTCCGCTGGGGGAACTGGGGCTGTAAGTGTTGGGGCTGTAGGGACGTCATCCGGGAACTGTGGGGGACTTGTTTTCCCTGCTGTCCTGGCCTCGCCATCCTTGGAAGCGTAGCCAGCGTCGGCTCCCCTGGAAGCTGAGATAGGGTCCACAAGGCTCGCTGCTTCCTTGGCCTCCTTGGGCACCTCGGCGCCGTGCTCGCGCAGCCGCTGTGCCAAGTGGCCAGCGTCCAGCTCGTCGGGCAGGCTTGGCATGGCACTGCCCACACGGTATGTGCCGGTGCCACCACCGCCTTCCAGCTGCACAAGCTGCAGCTCCTGCCCGGTGCAGAAAGCACGGATCTGACACAGGTATGTCATGACGATGAGCTTGTCGGGGACCGACAACAGCACCATGTCCGCAGGCTCCAGCAGCCGCGACACCCCCAGGGCTGCAAAACCATCGAAGGCCTAGGAAGGATGCACAAGGAGTCAGTGTTGGCAACCCACGTTACCCAGCAAAGCCAGGGTCCCTGTAGCACACCAGAGTTTGCCTGGCAATGCCTTCAGCTTCCCTGATCTAGCAACAGCCCTCGTGTTACCTAGCAACAGCACACTGCCTACTCTTGTTACCAAAGGATTTTAGAATAACCATGTAGGAGAAATATGTTTTTCTAAGAAATGCCAAAAGAAAACTAAGGAAAAATAAACTGTTTAATGACCAAAAGGGTAAAACCTGTCCAAAAGCCCTCCAGCCCGCAGATTCCTGTTCTCTGGCTAGAGCCTCTTCCCAGCCACAGCTCCCTCCCCACCTCACCTGCTTGTTGTTCTGCTTGATGTTGAGCGGGTCAAGGGAGGCATAGTCACTGCAGACAGGATGTCGGTCAGAGGCTGGACCCATACTGCCCCCCACCCGGCTTCCCATTTACCCCACCCCATAGGCAGCTCACATCTTTTCGGGATAGAATCGGTGCAGAATGGCACAGAAGGCCAGGCCGTTGCGCCAGGATGTAGTGAAATTGGTGATTCGGACACCACGATACCCAGTGGTAACCTCCTGGCACCACTCCAGTAGAGACTGGCTGGAGTTGACCAGGGCGGGTGGTGCCTAGGGACACAGGGATGGTTTTAGGGAATGTATTCTGGGGACCTGAGCCCACTGCACCTTGGGGAAGCTCAGGCTTGCCACAAAACAGTCTCGGCTGTGAGTTTTCAGAGGTCATCAGAGACCACTGGCCAGAGTTAAGGGTTTCCAGCTCAGGAGTCATGTGCCAAGGCCACCTAAAAGGTCAGCGGTTCCCAGGCAAGATCAGAGGTGACCAGCAGCCACACCTTAAGGTCAGCCCAGAAAATCAGTCTAGGGGAATCCAGTTCCATGCACCCCGGCCCAAGGAAGACAAAGTAGGAGAGCCAGGGCATCCTGAGGAAGCAGGGAATGAGGTTCCTTGAAGCTCAGCCCCCCATTTCACTCCATCTTAGTCTACCAGGTAGGTCCACACAGAACCACCATTAGCGCAGCCCCAGGTTAGCAGGAAGAAGCAGGCTGGGCCCTCGGCAGTCCCCATCCCTACCTGGCTGCCCAGCAGCCTCCTGTCCTCTTCAGGCTCCTCTGGGAAAGAGGCCCCTGAGGGCCTGGGCACCCCAGCCCCTGCCCCACTGGCCACCTGTGCCTCTGCCGGGCCGGCCTCTGGGATGCCTCCCTCGGCTTCTTTCCCCTTCTTGGTTCCCAAGACCCCAGCCTCTGCTTCCTGGCCCTCAAAAATACCAGATTTATTCTCTGTGGGACCTAAAACTGCCATTTCTTCTTTCTGGGTTCCCCAGACCTCAGATTTGGCCTCTGACACTCCCAAAATCCTGGCTTCTTCCTGGACCCTCAAAACTTTAGTCTCTTCTCCATGTACTCCAGAAACCTCTGCCTTTACTTCCTGGGATCTTAAAACTCTTTGCTCAGTGACTGGGACCTTTAAAGCCTCATATTTGAGAGCCCCCTCAACTCTAGTCTCTGCTTCCTGGACCTCCAGACTCTCAACTATTGCTTCCTCAGACTCTGAAATTGTAGTTTCTGTCTGTTGGGTGTGAACTACCTCAACCTCTGGCCCTGAGACTCCTGAAGTCCTAGCTGCTATCTCCTGGGTCCTCTGTGTCTCAGTTTGTGCTGTCCTGGTCTCTATCCTTAGAACCCCTGAACCTCTTATCTCTGTCTCTTGGGCCTCTGATCTCTCCAATTCTGCTTTCTCAGCTTCTATTCCTGGGACCCCTAAACCCCCTACTGTATCCTGAGTCCCTGATATCTCAGTTTCTGCTATCTCAGTTTCCATTACTGAAACCTCTGAAGTTCTTACCTCTGTCTCCAGGGTCCCGAACTCCTCAGCTTCTGTTGTTTTGATCTCTATCCCTGGGAACCCCCAAACCCTAACCTCTGTCTTGTGAGTCCCCAGTATCTCAGACTCTCCTATCAGAGTTTCTATCCCTGGAACCCCTGACCCCTCAGCTGCTATATCCTGGGTCCCCACTATTTCAGCCTCTGCCTCCCCACCCTCTATCTCTGGCACCCCAGAACCTCCCTCCTCTATCTTCTGGGCCCCCACTAGCTCAGCTTCTACCTTCAGTACTGTGGAACCCTCAGATACCCTCTGGGCTCCCAATAACTCAGACTCTAATATCCTAGTCTTTGTTCCCAGAACTTCTGAATCCCCAGCCTCTACTTGCTGGATTTCCAATACCTCAGACTCTGCCATTCCCACCTCTGTCCCTGGCATCCCTGGAACCCCCACCTCTGTCTCCTGGGCCCCCAACATCTCAGGCTCTGCTACTTCAGCTTCTATGCCTGGAATCTCTGACCCCTCAGCTGCTATATCCTGGGTCCCCAGTACTTCAGCCTCTGCCTCCCCACCCTCTGTCTCTGACATGCCAGGATCTCCCACCTCTACCTTCTTGGCCCCCAATGTCTCAGTCCCTACTACTTTAGTCTTTGTCCTCAGAACTGCTGAACCCTCAGCCTCTATTTTCTGGATCCCTAATACTTCAGAATCTGCTATCCCAGCCTCTTTTCCCAGCATTCCTGGAACCCCTGTCTCCTGGGCCCCTGGTATGTCCAACTCTGCTGGCCTAGCAGCCTCTGACTCTCTTGTCTTGGTCTCCTGGGCCCCCAATATCTCAGTGTCTGCTGGCCCAGTCTCTATCTCAGAGAACCCTGATTCCCCCACTTCGGTCCTCTGGGTACCCAATACCTCCCACTCTGCTTGTTCATTCTGTGTTTCCAGGACCCTTGACTCTTCTGCCTCCCAGATCTTCCAATCCCTAGGTCTTGCCCCCTGGTCAGCTGATGATGGGGCCCCCTGAAACCTGCTCACCTGGGGCCTGGTGCTTGCTGATCCAGCAGAAGTGCCCTGCTCCAGGTCTGTCCTCCCAACACCAGGGACTCTGTCTCTCATCTCTGCATGTTTCCTGTCCTGACCTGCAGCATCTCTGGCCCCACTGTGATCACTGAGATACCCAGAGTACCCTGCAGGCTCTGCTGGAGATGAGCTCAGGCCTGTGGGGGCCTCTTCCTGCACCCTGACCCCCATCTTCCCCTGAGAGCCCCTTGGAGGTGCCTCAGGAGTCACCCTGAATCTTGCCTCAGGCATAAGCCCTGCAGTCCCTGGTCCTGTAATAACCACGTGTCTCTGCTCAGCTTCGTCATCACTAAGTTCTGGACTCTCTTTAGTCTCTCCAGCTGTGAGCCCTGACCTGTCAGTGATCATCTCTTTGACTCCTGCCTCTTGCTCACTGTCTATCTCACCAGCTTTCTGCTTGTCTCCAGTAGTCCCCTCTTCAGCTTTGGATCTCTGCCTTCCCAAGGTGTCTTTGGAGTGTACATCCTCAATACCTGAGCCCGGCCTGGCTCCCTGGGTTTCTGTCCCTTCCTGAGGGCTTATCCAGGACTGAGATTCCCCCAAAGAACACACTCCTGCTGGGGGAGCCTCTGAGGCATTGGCATTGGGGACCTTGTCCCTCTCTTGAAGGATCAAGGACTGAGGAGCATCAGAGCCTTTCTGGAGCCCAGGGGCCAGGGTGGGGCTTGGCTGCATGTCCTGGCTTGGCTGCCTTGAGGACCTGAGGAGAGAGCAGGAGACAATGTTGGAGGAGGGCTCCTGTGTGCCCCAATCTCAGCTCTACCCCTGCGCCCTTTGGACTCCTGGGGTACTGGAGAGGCAGTCAGTGGCAGGGAGAACAGCTCCTAACGAGGGAAGGGCTGGGGCTGGTTTCAGAGCTCACCTTGCCTCCAGTGGGGTTCCTGGGGGCCTTGGGGCCTCAGACCCCACCTGGCCCCCACCTATAGTAGCTGGTTCTGACCCCTGGCCCCGGGAGGCCCTGGCCGGGGGCACAGGGGCACTCACAGGGGTTGGGCTGGAATCCTCAGTTTTAGTAGGGCTGGCAGCTGGGAAGGAAGGGAGGGGGCGCTGAGGCCTGGGCCTTGGGACCTCAGGTCCATTCCCTACACAGAACCGGAGCCCATGCCTCACCTGCCTGCTGGGGCCCTACTTGGTCCTCATCGTCCTCACAAAGCGTCTTCAACTCCCGAGGGGGATCTGGGGGTGGGGCTGGGAGTTATAGGGGGCAGAGTCAGCTCAGGGCAAAGCCCTGCGGGTCAGACCCCCTCCCCCCAACCAGAGTACAAGGCCTTCCTGGGAAAGGCCCCAGCCTCAGGGCACCATCCTGGCCTGGAGAAGGGACAGGCCCACAGTTGCAGAGTCAAAAAAAAAGAAAGAACCACAAGGACAGACAAGAAGCTTTAAGGAGCAGCTGGGAGGGCCAGGACACAAGTAATAAGGGCATGTGGGGAGGGGAGGGAAGAGGAAGTGGGATTGGACTGTAGCCTTCCCTGGGCTTCTGACCCAGCTTCTCAGGTCAGGTATAGGCTAGGCAGACACCCACCAGGGGGTGAGGGCCAGGGGCATGAGGAGGTGCTGGGAACCCATCCTGCAGGATTCAGCCAAGGACTGAGGACAGCAGGACCATAGGCAAAGTTGGGTCAACCAGGGCTGCTGGGAAAGTTGAGACTGCTGGACGGACAGTAATGAGCTCCCATCACTGGGGGGCACAGCTGGCCTGATCCCAGCACAGCTAGTGGCATGTGGCCTATGTGCCTCCCATAACCCCTAGGCCTTAGCAATCTCAACCCATAGCAGGCTGTGAGCCCACCTGGCTGGGGGCCTTGAGCCTGGGCCTCAGGGGCCCTAGGGCCATTGGCCTCATCCTCGTCACTCTCAGCAAAGTCCTCCAAGTTTCCCACATCACTCGGCTTCACGCTCATGAGGCTGGCCAGACTCTGCATGTCATCGTCCCTGGGGGTCAGAGGTCAGGGATGAGGGCTGGGGTCAGAGATCACAGGATGGGGCCAAGGAAGACAGGTGGGCACTCACGTGGCTCGGCCCTCCCGAAGCAGCACCCCTGAGAGGGTGAGGCTCAGCTCAGCATGCACCACCTTCACTGACTTGGGCTTCAGCCGTAGCTGCAGAGGAACCTGGGCTGGCACAGGTCCTGCATGGCGGGCTAGATCCACCTCAGCTGTGGCCAGCACCTTCCGCTGCCCCTTGGATTCCTGAGGGTGGGACAGGGACACAGTGAGGGGCATCAGCACAGACTTGAAGTCCCTGAGACCCCAGGCCCAGCCCACCCTGGCACTCACATTCTCAATAATAAATGTCCACTCTTTGGCCTCATAGTGGTCCATGTGGGGGTCCTGGGGAGAGAGGCCATGTTAAGTCAGGGCTGTGGGGAAGTCAGTGCAGGGAGAAGGACCCCGTGCTAGCTCAGAAGCTATCCGGCCTTCTGATCCCAGCTACCTCTCCCACGAAGATGTTGGGGAAACACTACCTCCTCCAAGGAGCCTCCTGGGCCCCTCATGCTTAGTAACTCTTAGCCATCTCTCTGGTTTCCTATTTGTATAAACAGTCCACCAGGGGACCCGCTGACTGCCCACTGCAGTTGACTGACCATTCGCATCAATGTCAGAGGGAAGGAGACTTACTCTGTACAGGGTCACGGAGATGTCCACGTTCTCAGGCACCATCCACACCACGGTGCCCCGGTATGGGTTCTGGATGCCGGGCTGCCAGCTGTGGGCCTACAGTAGGCAGTCTGAGTCCTCCCCTTTCCCCCAGGTTTAACTCTTCCCTCCCCACCCCCATTCCCTTATCTCCAACCTAGACCCTATCTTCCTCTCCCCGTGGACTGCCCACCTGGCAGCCTTCCCCATGGGCCCCCTTTGGCCACATCCCAATCTGGACCCCCAGTGGTCATCCTCCTCTACCTTGGAGCAGATGCGTCTGTTCCGCCGGGTCCACACCACCACCAGCTTGTCCGGCTGCCTGGGGAGGGACCAGGATAGGGGGGTGCTCAGTCAGGCTCACCCAGCCTGCCATCCCCTCTTCCTCTACCTCCCTAACTCCCACAGGGTCTTTCTTCTGATCCTGTTCCCTTCCCTCTGGGCAGTCTCTTATCTGGAGCCGCAAGGTGCAGGGTGGGGCTGCTGAGCAGGGTGGGGCAGAGGCAAAGGGCAAAGGCCCGGACAGCAGAAGCCCGCAGGGACCATGAAGTATAGCACAGTGACAGAGATAGAGACACAGAAGACAGACAACAGACACATACTCAGAGACACAGGAAGAAACAGAGCCTCAGAAGTTCATACTAGCAAATTATTTGTGGTGTGCTCACTACAAACCCAGTCCAGTTTGGGGGACAGAGCAGAAAAAATGAGGCAGGACCCTTCTGGGGCTGAGGGCAAGGGAGCTGGGGAAAGAGGGCCTTGCAAAAAGGAAACTCAATTTGCAAGTTAACCTCAGGGGCTTGTGAGGGAACCTCTGGAGTCTCCTTGAGGTTGGTCATCTGAGCAGAGGCATGAATGGATGAGGGATGGGTCATGGAAGGATCTGGAGAAATAGTAGGCAAAGAATCGGGGCTGGAGGAGGGACATGGGCAGCAGGCAGCAGAGGGTGGAGGTGAGACCAGAGAGACACAGGGCCACGTCCTCAGATCCCCACGCTCAGGGCCTTCAGGGGCCCCAAGGATTATCAATTAGGACTCTTGCTTCCCAGAACCCAGGGCTGTGGACCAAAGCTTTGTAGGGAGATAACAGACCCCAGAGGAAGTCAGGAAGGACTTCTAGGTGTTAGGGGACAACTAAACTGAACAGCATATGCGGGGCAGATGCAGAGGAAAGGCACAGATGTGCAGAGGCAGAGACAAAGTGAGAGGGGAAAGATGGCCACACCGGCCCTAGTCCTAAACACAGAGGTGATCTGGCCGGCCCCAGGGGAAAGGGCCCTTTAGGTTATTCTCCAACCTCTACCTGCTGGAGGATGGGGATGGTTAAGGGGACAGCCAGGCAAAGGCGACACAGGCACCTTCCTTGCCTGTTCCCAGTCCCCTGCCAGGATGCTCAGGCTTGCCCACTTCCCTGGCCCTCCAGAGGCCAACCCAAGCTAAGTGGCTTCCTATTATCCTGGAGGATCCTGAGGTCCAGAGAGACTGCCAGGTAGAGTTACAGAGCTGAGCCTTGAGCCTTCTACCCGAGAGCTAAACTCCTTCCCCCAACCCCAAACTGCAGGCAAGAGCCAAGCAAGGACAGCCCAAGGGGCCTTCCCAGAAAGGGGAAGCAGACTAGGGGTGCCTATGGAGGGCGGGGCCTGGCTGGGCAGCCCGATTCTGGGCAGGCACGCCCTCCCAGGGAGCTGTGACCTGGGCAGAGACAGCTTCCTGTCCTGGGCTCCAGGCTAAGAAGCCAGAAGGCCCTATCCCACTGCCTGTGACTCAGCTGCCTTGACACTGCCCGAACCCTAGGCCTGCTCTCCAGGACCACACCAGTGCCCCCAGACTCTTCCAGGATGCTGGGGCAGATCCCAGAGGCCAGGTTCCAATGCCGGCTCTGTGCTGTTACCCCAGGAAGCCCCTATCCCCTCCAGGCCTCAGCCAAGTGAAGGGCTCACAGGCAGGCCCAGTGTGAGCAAGATCAGAGACACAGCCATAGCCCAAGGACCACACCTCTACTCACTCTCCTCCCTGTGGACCCCATGCTCCCTTCCTGCCAGAGCCATTCTTCTAGGGAACCTAAATTTAGGCTTGCCCGGTGGTTGAGGCCCCCACAGCTGTGCCCTAATCCACCAAGGGAAGCTGACACCAGTGAGCACGTATATTTAGGGTGTGACGCAGGGCCCGGCAGCTGCGGTGGAGGCATATGAACCAGATGCCCCTGGGCTGTTTGGCCGTCCATACCAGAACATGCACCCTCTCATGTGTCACCCCCTCACCCCACTACCTTGCCCTCTCCTTCCAGACCCACAACCTCCTAGGTCCTCAGGGCCCCTTTAAATTGCTCCCCTCCTCCCTCCTCATTCCTCCAAGTGCTCAGTTTCCCCTTTTAAGGACATGGTGGAGACATTTCCAGCCTCCTAGCCTTGGTTCTGGTTGAAGGGAGGGGAGTGTCCTCTAGCTCAAAAGAGGGCACAGGAAGGGGGAAACATCTTTGTTTAGAAGTGAGCTAAAATTCATGAGGTTTCTGCCCCAGTCCGGGCCACCTGCAGACCTCAAAACTTGCTTCCATTTCCAGTACCACCCTGAACCATCTCTCTGACCCAAGGACATTCGGTCTCCCTCCCCCAACCCTGACCACAGCCAAGAAAAATGTGGGCACTGACATATTCTTACCCTTGAAGGCCCTCACCTCCAACCCCGGAAGGCTCCCCTATACCCCAGCTCCTGAGGTCCTGCAAGTTGCAAGAACTTCAGAATCTCCTTGCCTGGGACAGGAGGGCCCGAGTTGGGACAAGGAGGGGGAGAGGCCTTGACCACAGGGCTGGGGTGTGGGGGAGATTCTCAGGCTGAGACGGCAGGACAGAGTGCCTGCTAACCTGCAGGGGTCCCCTCAGACCTTCCACTTACCATTTCTTGGTGCACTCCAACACCAGCTCGTGATAACAGGCTACAAACTGGAACTTAGCGGCCCGCTTGCCCACGCGCTGTAGGCGCTTCCACACCGAGGTCATGGCCCCCAGCCGCTGTCCCCTCCTCAGGCCCACAGCTCCCAGTAGTCGGCGACTGCTGGTCTGGCCGGGGTCCGCATGGCCTAGGGGGTGGGGGTTTCTCTCTGCGTTCCTCGCCCTGTCTACCCCGTCGGTCCAGTCAGCCGCTTCCGTCCGGTGTTGCCCGGGTCTCTGACCTTGCGGAGGCTGTGATCCCTGATGCTGTAGCTGAGACCCGCCAGAGGATCCCGCTAAACCCTCGGGGTCGTACCGGGCGCGTCGGGCTGCTTTGGACACAGAGCAGGGAGCAAGCGGTTTCCTGGAGCCGCACCCCCGTCGGAAGGCGGGCAGGGCAGCGGC